AAAGGGAGGACCGTGAGGACTCCTCACTGACAAAAACTACACGCCTGAGCGCACCCGATTAGGGTCAGTCGCGAGTTTCAACCCACCGAGGTGCAATGGTGAGCCTCCACCCGGGGTCAGAGCATTCTTGATCACACTGAACCCGGCGCCAGCTTACGCTGTGGTCAAGAAATAATCTTGAGGTTTAACCTTCAGAAAATTAGCAACCAATCAAGACAGTCTATTATCCACTGAACACAAATGCGGTTAAAATGTATAAATATGGTTTGATTTTCCCTAATAAAAGTAGTCCGTTACCAAGTCTTTTGTCTGCTTCTGTTACAAACCTACATTTGAAAGCGCATATCAAACTGCTGTTCACTTCAACAAGCGGAGGATTTATGTTACTTCTGGAAAACTGTTTGTCCTAAACTCATGTGACCACGTCTTCGGGCGCATCTTAATACCTCCTGTTAAGCTGCCGTATGGATTTGTTTCTGGAATAAATAGATACCAATATTCCAACATTTGTGTCTACTGACCCGAAAGCTGCACTAGACTCAGTTAATTAAGGGGTATTGTGGTAATGTCAGGTTGTGAATGGAGTAGTGAGAAAATGTATGCTAACTCGGACCCGTGTAATCGTATAGGAGCCTATCGAGATTGGCGATTTTGAAGTAACGACAGTCAGTGGTGTCTGCTAGGAATGCCAAATGTTGTCGTTCTTACTTAATTCTGCTATAAATAGATCTGTCTATATTTGGATTCGATTGTGCATCGGTGGCACAGTGGTAGAATGTTCGCCAACCACGCCTCATGTGGTTCGGAGTTCGATCCCCGGCCACCGACGCACTCCTTTACCTCGCTAAGCCAGTAATAAGACTGGTAAAGAGGGAAGGTTGGGCATGAGGCTAGCAACCCTATCCCGTAAAAATAAACACCACTGCTATCGAAACTTCAAGCCTCTAGTTTGAGGCCCTATGTCCCACTTGGAATGTAAAGGAATAAAAAAAATATTTGAATTCGATATCTTAAGTAAATATGAAATGATCATGTGTCCATACCCAAGTTGTTCTTATGTTACAGTGTCTTTTCAATAATAATCAACCTACCTGAAGCAATAAAAGTATTGCAAAGAGTCGAATATACCGTAAGTAATGCTTCAAAAAAGGCATATAAGGATAGCTATAGAACAGTATATTGTAACACTAATTTTTTTAGCAAAAATTACGTTTAAAAACTTTAAAATGACCTCACTGTTGTCCGTGGTGTACAGATTTTACTGAGTGATTCCCTATTCCTAAGTGTTCACACATACATTTACCACTAACTGTACTGAGTATATCTATTAAACAGTGATCACTGTACAAATTTGCATTGTATCTTCTAACTAATAAATATAACTTAACTAACTTTTTCACTGATTTTAATAGCGCAGTATCCTTGGTTGGAGAAGACGATCGGAAATTACTAAAGCAAATTATGAAAGAAGCTCCTTATCCTGTTAAAGCAAGAGTTATCCCATCAGGTTAGTTGCCTCTAAAAACTTTAGATTTGTCTATTGAGAATTGTAATGTAATGCTCAACCTTACTTGACTAAAAATAAACACCACCGCTGTCTGCGTATATAGCGTTGTTTAGGAATGCGCATTTTTCCATTGTATACACGAATTAGATTGCAAAAGACAACAGTTGACTAATATTGTGGTGCGAGCTGTCTGTTATTCACAATTGTAGACAACAATTTACGTCAGTGTTGTCGTCCCAAATCGGGGTGCTGAGAAAAAAGCAGTGACACAGCTTAACCTTGAGGAACTCACCAACCAATCACAGCAGACTTAATGTGCGCGAATACAATTCGCAGATATATGGCTTAACTTTCTGAGAAACGGCCATAAGCAGTAAAGAATGACCCTCAGAAAGAAAACAACCAATCAGAAGATGTTGCTTCTCTGCTAACAATAACGCTAATAATAATGTACATAAAAATCTATAGATATCTGTTACTTTTCTCAATAGACGATCTGTTGCCTGGCCCTTGTCTTCTGTCGTCACATTGTAATCTGAGATATTTAGAAGACAAGTGGGTGGAATGTATAAAAAAGTTGTTTAGCAATCCATAACCTTCATTTCAGTGTTTAAATACAGAGAGATACTATCACTAGTGTTTAATATGATCGTACACATGTAACCTCTGCAATCAATATTATTTCCATATCTCACAGACAAAACAGTTTGTAGTAAATCAGATTCTGTTGATTGACGACAGTTCAAAATATTTAGAAACAAAAGCTTTATTGATAAGAAACTGTCTGTTTTCGGTTGATGGTCGTTGAATTCCATCATAGAGTAAATTTAAAGTAAATTGATGGATGGTGACTAGCATTAGAATCCAGGACGTGCACTTCGTCTTATTTGGGACTCGTCATGTGGATGTATTTGCACTCCTCCATTGAGTGATAGTGTTCCCACTAATACTCGACCCCAGTACCCACAGTTTCAAGGTTAATTCCGCATACATCGTTGAAGCATCCGCACAAGAAGCCAACATGTCAACAGAGGCAGAACATTTTGGTCTAATCAATCAACGGGAAACTCCAAAATGATTTATATAATAGAGTAAATTTATTTGATAAAGTCTCACTGTGTTATACAGTATTATGTACTAATGACGTTTTGAGTAAATAAATTTACACAATCAAGGAATTATACTTTAATACAGTGCTCAAGTTCCATTCTTATATCAGTGGTAATAGTTAGAGTTATCATAGCAACAAAAATTGTTCAGGGGGAAACCGAACTCTAGACAACATAGTCATATGCTTAGCTAAATCCATCAGCTGGTCATTTTAGGAAAGGATGTTTTGTTGTAAAAAGAATTTCGCCGAAAAAAAATACAAGTTGGTCTTTGCGCATAACTCCGTCTAACGTTATTATTTTTTGAACTTTTGTTTTTACAGATGTTATTGCTAGTTTTCATTCCAAAATTAATCGTTTGGAGCCTATTATTGGTAAGATTTTGGCTGCAGAAACTGAAGAACGAGAGTTAAGGGCTGCTCAAACCCAATTAACAAAAGCTGAAGAGTTGGCATCCAATTTAAAGTCAGGGTTGATGCCGACATCCTGTGTAGAAAGACGGGTGGATTGGTTCGCTGAGCGGAAACGTGCACAAATATCCATTGGTCGAAGTACGTGTCCATAATTACTTGAATATTTTCCATTAATTCATTTGTACAAGGATTGTAAGTGTGTCGGTGGAATAGCGGTTAGGACGCTCGCCGACCATGCACATGGTCCGGGGCTCGATCCCCGGCCGACGCACTCCTTTACTTCACTAAGCCAGAAATAATGCTGGTGAAGAGGAAAGGTTGGGCATGAGGCTAGCAACCCCATCCTGTAAAACAAACACTGCTACAGAAACTTCAAGCCACTAGCTTGAAGCTCTATGTTCCACTGGGGAACGTAAAGGAAAAAAAAAACAAGGATTGTAACGGTACTTTACCAGTGTGCAAGTTCGTACGAATCGACTTGCTAGTACATTGTCCAGTAATACAGAGTCTGAGTGCAATATGTCATTTTGTAGTGTATAGAACCACACTCAGGATCTGTTTGTATATTTTCCGGATCCTACGACTTCCAAAATGACAGTATATCTTTTTAGGATTGCTTGCTTAACATAAGTCTTAGTATAATCCTCTTATCACTACTTTTTAACACGAGAATTCTCCTGTAATGAAATAGTCAAAGCAGATAGTTCACTTATCCTTAACACATTTGTATACACACTGACTGACGGAGTTTACCCAAGTAAAGTATTAATGTTTGCTTTTTAAGAGAGGCATCGGTTCATCATTCTAAATAACTATTCAGAATAATTGCGCACAGATTTTAGACAAGTCAGCCTTTCATTTAATCCATTTAACAAAATAGAAAGTTTTTTACGTCAGGATGGCAATCCGTTTTCTGTAATGCAGTTTAGTTTCTATTCGATAAATCGTTTTATATCTGCTGTTACGCTTAACAGAAAGTTGGTGGTAACTGGATAGAAATGGCATTGATGATATACCACCGTCTTTTTATACCTCAAGTAAACGTTTTATTGAGTGGAGATTCTAAAATACGTGTGTGACTTATAAATGTTGATACTTCACATTCGAGACATTGTAAAGGTATGACCACGTATAAGTAGCAGTATATGAAATGTCCTTAAGAAAGGATTTTGTTGAATAACCCTCCTACATAGGGCGTGCGTAAAACAGTCATATCTCCTGATCTTCATATGTTACTCACCTTTTCACCCATTAGTAACATCGGTATATCTACTATTTAAATGATACTTTTATGATAAACATTTTATCAACTTAATTTGTAAAGATAATACGGAGAAGTTGAACTCTAAACACTGAAGGAGTACGACGCACCAATGATCTTGAGAAAGGCTATTTTTACGCATAAAGTACATAGATTAATGAAAATAATGAATAAAGTGGCACGAAGAGTTGTTACACGGAATACTTTTGTCTAATGTGTGACAGGCATGCCTCCCAGTTTCGCATTGGAGTATCAATAGAGTGAATTAAACCACATTCTATGTATGAATTCATCTAAATCTTCAAGTAATCCTAACCCTAACGCGAAACTACTATCCCTAAACTGGCCCTAATTTACCCCTAACCAACCCTAATATCCTCTTTATTAGGGTTAACCTGAACTATCCTTAGCCTAAACATCTTTCTCAAACCTAACATAAAACCAACCAGATATCTCGTTTAATATCACAACACTTTGCTAAGAATATTTTATTCATGAGTGTCATTGGTGCTTGAAGTTTAACCTGACCGAAAGTACTTATAATAGTCTTGCAGTGAAAAGTATTTATTAATTTCCCACTGTTTATTTTTTTCCTCTTTCTAATTTTAGAATCCAGGATGTCTAAACCGAAAAAACGTAAACCTAGTTCTGATAGTGACTCTGATTAATAAATAAAAGAAAAAATAATTTTTTTACTATTGTCTTTAACATTTCATTAATTTGGTGGGGGTTATAACAATCAACTAGCAATTTAAAAAAAAAACAGTCAACTGAGTTCTCATGATGAGAAGAGTCTTTTTATGGCCATTGGAATGTTCCTGGTGCAAAAATTGTACTTGGAAGCTCCTCGCGTTTTGAGTAACTTGATTGTGTCCCTTTTTTACGAATTGATTGACTAGCAAGCCATATAGATCTTCTGATTTGTTCTGCAGTTGTAATGTTCTCATGACATGCAACAAAGTATGCCAAAGAGCCAACAAAGCAATCACCAGCACCCTAGACAGTAAAGTAATTGATTTAGATTTAGGTATATACACAAATTAATTGTTACGGTCAAACGAAATGAACTCCATACTGAGGTTATAACTTGATTACTAGTCTAGGAAACAATCTTACATTTAGTTTTAACTCACTCAATACACTGAGTGGTGTTTCACACTTGTTATAAACCGATATAATGTGAAATGAAGTTTATGCTGATGATGCCACCCGAGAATACTCATACTTCCTGATGCTGCTTTATGTATCTTTGCTAATGTGATATACTTATAACTGTGTCAGGTTCGTCTTAGTTTTCAATGAATATAACCAAGTTATTCATAGAATAAACTGCGTTTGTTGGTTACAGTTTTCACTGTTTTGAAGTGGTAACTCTATATAGAGTTTGTTTTCGTATATCTGTGTAATGTTTTGATATTAACATTATGGGATTTGTGGAGATTTGGATCAATTTCTTTAGGCTGTAAGCAGCTGATGAGAAGCCAACGAAATGAATGATGGTACCATCATATTCTGCATAAATTGTTGTTCTTGCTTTATTCAATTCCAGTTGTTAAATTTCGTCATGAATCAACATCATTTAGAGAGATCGCCGATAACCATGTAGCACTCGACAGCTGTTTCGTCCTGGTTTGGCACTCATCATCAGTGCGCACCCACGACTCCGCTGAAGATCGAGCCTTAAACATTCAGGTTACGAGACCGAACTCGTTGACTTTCAGCCACTTGAGTCAGAGTTCAATGACCTGTGGATTCTAATTTTAGTCAGTTCGTGATATAGCGCTTCTATGAGCATCTGTTTCACCTTAACATGCTGGACCCCATAGGTCACGACTTTTCAGTACAGTTTCAGGGCATCTACACCCAGTAGCCATCAATAAGCTGGAGATTGATATTAAGTTTATGGGATTAGGATTAACTTCAATTGTTAAATTTCGTCACGAACCAATATCATTGTGAGGTCATTGAAAACCATAGATCACTACTGGACAGCTTGTTTTGTCCTAGTTTAGTTGTGGGTGCACACTGGCAAAGAGTCCCAAGCTAGGACGACAGAGCTGTCCAGTGGTTACCTCTGGTTTCCAATGATCTCTAACTGATGTTGGTTCGTTACGAGATCTAACAGTTTAAATTATTGTTTACTTCTGGAGGGCCTTGTAAATCCCCTTTATTTTTCAGCATTTCTTACAGATATATGAATTTAAGTTACGTCTTAGTTTCACATGTTAGTGAACTAGTCTATCACCTGAATGACCACCACCCTGGTTATACACAATCACACTTTATCGACCTAATATTTGAAAAATACAACTTGACTTACTGTTGTATCAGTGACATCATCAATTTTGGGAGCTGCCAAGTGTACGATCAACTTTTCTTCATTTCCTAAAGATACATGTGCCACTACGCTTACATCGTTGTTTTGCATACCCATCATATCTTGTGCAGAAAGAACAGCGATAGCTCCTTTACTTCCTAGTGTTACTATCGGCCACCTGACTTTTTTCTCAATAAGATAGATGAGACCAGGGATGAAGGTATGTACATTTGATGAAGTGATCTGCTCATTTTCAGGAGGAAGTGATTCAAGATCAGATCCAGTTATAGAACAGAATTCGCATTCGTTTAGGCATACAAAATCTGAATTTGACAAAATCATATCTAGTAATTCATAATTTCCCAATTCATTGTCTTCAGATGGTACTGGAGCAGGTGCAGGATTAAGAATTGTTTTCACTCCATTAGTTCGGCCAAATCGTAAACTATGAAGTGTTGCCACAGGATTAATCTAAACTCATTAATAATAATACATAAGAAAAAAAGCTGAGTGGAGGTAAATTTAAGATTTGAATGTACCACAGTACTAAGAGGACTTAGAGATTAAGCATTTCCAAAAATAGCTTATCTAGTAGTTACTCCTAACAAGTTTTTTTCCATGCCGTTTAATCTATTATTTTCATGAATATATCTTATACATGAAGACTGTCTTTATCATATGGTTGGTGCGTTCAAGGTCATTTGTCCGTTGATCCTCACTGGTGCTTAAAGTTTAACGTCGCCGTAGAGCATCGACCGGGAATCGGACTACTGACTCCTAACCAGTAATATAAGTCGAGACCAGTGAAGCACAACAGGTCTGGTGTGGGGACAAATACTCGCCGATGACATTCGCTAGTGGTCGCGCCATGGCGTGAATTGGCGACTGGCTCTATTCAGGCGGTGACCTGGGATTCTATTGGGAAACCGTGACCAGTAGGGTGCAGCAGGTTGAAGGGAAGGCAGTAACTTACCGAAGAAGACATTGAGAAGTGGTAGCGCTATGCCGTAAATTGGCAGAAGTTGGAATTCATTGGATCGGGTCCCTGTGGCCTAATGGTCTACGAGCTAGCTGGTCTTGTTACTAGAAGGTCCTGGGTTCGAACCCCGGTGGGTACCTACTGATGAAGAGTCCCAAACTAGGACGAAACACTGGCTGTCCAGTACTCCCAGGTGGTTTTCCAATGGTCCTCTAACCGATGTCAGTTCATGATGAAATCCTGAAACCAATCAAGTCCCTTCAAACCAACACTGGAATATAATAAAAAGCCCTATTGTATTGTGGATAAATAAGTAGCTAAGCTGTGTGTTTAACTATGATTACTTTCACATAAGAATAGAAATTGGACACTGTGGTAGAGCATAATTCGATTATGGTTGAAGTTTATTTCAATAAAGTCTCCATAATGGAATTACGATTATTTTCCTTAACCGTTATTTCCAAGAGTTTGGAGTGATAAAATTAACTGTTAATCCTTATTCTTTTCAATCGAAAGGATAAGGATAAAATTACACTTATTGTTTCTGTATACTAGTGGGTAAATTAATGCATGGTATGATATATACACACAATACCAAAGAAAATAAACCCAAAATCTTTATACATCCTACTAATCGGTATTTGTAGTATACTTTCAATGAAAACTATTTTACGGATTTTTTAAATTGAGCAGCCTGAGACAGATGTGAATAATTTTTTTCAAAAGTTAACAAATTAGTTGATCGATCTACTTAATGCGATCAGTCAGTTAGTGAATACTGAAATAAAAGTTATAATTGCATTGATCTTACTTCGAACTGACATATTATCACTTTTGTATTAAAAATCATGTACTGTTGATCTGCACGATTAATATCACTATCTGTTATAAGCATATTTGCACCAGGGACAATAATTATCTGATTTTCACCTGTTCCCGTATCAACAGTAATTGATGCAACACCAGTACTGCATTCGGGAGATTTTGTTACGCCATCTACTTCCGAACAAGTGTTATTTTGTGATAAAGATGAATTAAAAACAAAATTATTTAAAACTACTACTATGAGTGTTCACTATAAATACACGAAATGATGTTAACATATATATTCAATGCATAAAACACTATGTACATTTTAGATTGCTTGACGTTGAATAACTTCAACATAATGTTAAAAGGCGTAGTATGCTCATGTTTTCTCCTACTGACAAGTGCATGCATATCAAATATACATTCTGGTGATTAGATGGGCTAAATTTTTAATTCAGGATGCAATATAACCAACTATATATCCAGTAGTGCAGAGACATTATACTGATATACACGACTCAATACTTTGCTTGAGATTTGTTTGTGTCGTTAGATGTGTCATACATTGTTCTTTTGATTGAGCTAACAGATAATTTCTTTTTAATACTGAGAAAATACCAAGAATTTAGACCTGTGAGATAAGGTCTCAGTAGTTAGAACCAGTAGAAGGAGAAACGTTTAAACTGGTGGACGTTTTCTTTGAAACGGATAGTTATATAATAAAATTACACAACTGAGTATCGTATACAATTAATATGTAGTATTAACAATATATATAGTCGTTTGTTTCCACTGTGCTTAATTAGCTAGTTGGTGGATAAAATACTTTTCTAATCCCACATAAGTACTAAGAGAACGTGAGTCATTGACTGTGAACACATACATAAGTTTACTATTACACATTTATATCTCACACTTCTTACCAGTGTTTATACCAAATTGCTTTAAATGTTCAAGATAAATATCTCCAAAGTAGTCTACACCAACGTTTCCAACAAGTGCTGTGTTACATCCCAATAGTTTCGAGGCCACACATTGATTTGCTCCTTTCCCTCCGTAACCGAGGAGGAAACTTGACCCAGTTACTGTCTCTCCAAGTTTTGGAATAACCTGTGTATACCTCGGAAAATCACATTCGTAATTATTTGCATTTACAGAGATAGATCAATGTTCAGCGAACCGACGATGGTCACATCAAATTTCGTCATAGTTGAGATAATACTTTTGAAAGTCCACTTCTGTGGCTGAAAAAAGTCCATAAGATAAGTAGAAAATGAGAGCTATTAGCACTTTACATAAATAAGAAATACAAAGCAGAATATACTGAAAACACTGTGAACTCATTCTGCTATTTTGACGGCAATAACAATCGTAATGTTACAAAAAAATTGCAGAATTAGTGTGAAGTGGCGATTGAGAACTCTGATTCCTAATATTAAGAGTATTTCAGATAAAGGACAAGATAAAACAAACAGCGGTAGTCGACAGAACAAATCTGAACAGAACATATTTTAAGTGAATGGAAAGTACTTTTAATGGAATGCTGTTAATACGCCGTTTGAAGGTTAAGGTTCAAACATTTGAAGTAATGTAGTATGCGCAAATCCATATATACATCTTGCAAACCAGTTCGTGTATCTTAACGTACACCGATTGCAGTAGCCTAATGATCGCTACAGAACATGTAAAAGCCCTGAAAAAGTGTGTGATGATGGCTTTTATTCTACATTTATACACCATAGTTTGCCCGATTACAATTGAGGAGAGCTGGGTTACATGATCTATCCGGATTAGGAACCTTAAGGCATTTTACTTAGGACCTTTATAGGAGTTGTTTCTACAAAATGTCTTTCCAAATTAAACCATGTCTACACTTTTGGACTTTGAGAGGGTAAATACTGTATTCTACTTATTCAAGCGATACTTTTCAAAATCTATACTCTCAGGGCGGTTTACGGTTTTTAAAATTAAGGTATAGTGTTAAAGTTAGTGTTGTGATCATGGTTAGAGTTAGGAGTAGGTTGGAGAGTAGTATCAGAAATATCTATAGATCTCAAAGTACCATGAACCAACAGTCACCTGGATGAATGCACACATCGCGCATGGTACGACTTCTCTATAGATCATCTGTGTAGCGCCTGGGAGACATTCTTACAACACATAAGCTACAAACATACACTGTAATATTATATATTTTAGCGTAATTTTCAGCGATTATGCTACTTATGGCGTCTGAGTTCGGATTGGTCATTCAAGGTCACCATACTTTTGCCTGATAGTTTAACTTTGCCTAAAGTCTCTAGTTAGGGGCTTCAGTTTTGGAAATATCATTTTATAGAATTCAAGACTACATTCTAAAGTGTACACTGAATTCTACATATGGATAGTACGCACTACAATGACTAATATGCGAGTTCTGAAACCTAACATACCAATAGGCTTTTGAAAAGATACGCACAGCAACCTGCTTGAAATATCGCCAATGTACTACCACAAGGTCCTGCTAATTTCCTGACATAGATACATTGAATGACAAATGACTATCTCACAAATTTCACTGTCTGCAAGGATTATACGCTTCCCTGAATCTTAGCGTTTATAGAATTCTACCGCCACCGCGCTAACTTTGAAAAGGGAGTGAATTTTACACGCTCTTGTTTAGTTTTGGCTTTTGTTGTGTTATGCGCTCCAAAAATCTACAGATTAACATTAAATCAGTTTATTCTGATCAAAGTTAGTTTACTTTTCAGATCTGAGTTTATTTAAATTATAGGAAGTTGTGTCTTATAACATAATAGTTACATATATTTTGGCGAAGTAGAAGAATAGAGTCCCAGGATTGTAAATGTTCCAATGACCTTGTGAGTGTTCCAATGACCGTGAACGCATGCTAGTCATTGGTTGAGGAAGCACTCATTGGTTTTTATCACTGATTTATAAATATATTTATATATACATTTAAAGACATTTAAATTTCTTCCCCAGTTCGCTCTAGACAGTATGCCATCAGAAAAATCGCTGCGGAAGGGTTATGTGCCAATTCCCAGTGGATGAGTGAATGCAGTGTGATAACTGCAAGAGATGGTTTCACAGTATGTGCACAAACCTATCTCCTGCAGCATACAAACGCCGCTGCAAACCTCTAGCAAACTGGTTGTGCAATGACTCTTGTAGTACGACCAAATTCCGTATTACAGAAGCCGTTGCCACTCTCAGTGGGGCTTTAAAGCTCATGGACTGCAAGCGTCCTCCACTACAGGAGAACACCGTTTATTGCTCAGACAACGATGACGTGACTAGCGTCATCGACAAAACAGCACATGTCCCCGATGCGTCTCTGTCAATAAGTGAGTGCCCTTCAGCACAGAAGAGCACTTTCCACATTCCAGACAACCAGGCTGCCCCCACGATACTGGATAAAACGTCCAGTGACAGTAGTGGGAAGACTGCCACAAAGAAGAGGCATACCAGGGGTCGAAAATCTGCAGCTCAAGTCGTCCAGGGACTAGTGGATCAAGCCTCATCCACACCGGTGAGTAGTAGGCAGATAAATCCTACTACGATTAGCTAGGAGAACGCCAACGAATGGTGTAACGTAGTCTCTCGCAAAAAGCGAGTTAAGGATAACACGTTGGCTACACCGCCCACGAAGGACAGAAACACACTTACGCCGCAGAGCAAGAAAGCCACAGCAAGTAAACTTGATCACTCTGACATGTCGCTCACTCTCCACAAAGTTGAAGAGTCACTGGCCCCCGATCCCAAGACTAGATTTGAGCATGACCTTAACTTGGGTAAGCCCCTTTTAGACAAGCTACTGCCACAAGCAGTATCAGGCATTACTATACATAGCGTATATAGAATAGGTCAAAAGCCTGACCTTACAGTAAGTCAGCCTGTACGTCTCCTCAAAGTCGTACTAAACTCTAATGAAGAGAGGGATGCTATTCTAAGCAACTCTCATATTCTTAAAGCATCAGACATATATATCCGCACCGTTTTAAGCCTAGCAGACCGCGTCAAAAGGCAGTCTGCGGCCCTGGAATTAAGCGAACGACGCCGAAACGGCGAAAAGAACCGTAAGATTAAGGGTTTTCGGGTTGTCCAAGTTCGCAGTTTAATGATCCCGAAACCTCTGTGGGTAGGCTGAGGAAGCACTAAACTGAATTGAAGGTTTGCTACACAAACGCCCACAGCCTGTTAAATAAACGGATTGAGCTGGTTAACATGATAGACTCCGGAAACCTGAATGTAATTATTATCACAGGGACATGGCTCACACCCGATGTCGCTGACAATGAAGTTTACCTGCCAAACTTCGAAGTGCATAGGGTGGGCCGACTAAACCGCAAAGGAGGTGGCGTAGTCATCACCTCAAGAAATGCATAACCGTGCGTAGTACCGAAGCACTCGTTCACGAAAGTGAGTCGTGCGAACTTCTACGCTGCAGACGTAAATGCATAGGCCAAGACATTGACCTCATTGCTGTGTTCCACAGTCCTGACTGCAGTGCAGATGACTTCCTGATAGAGAAGCTAGGCTCCTGGACCTCGAAATGTCGAAGTCTCGTAGTTGGCGACTTCAACGCTCCAACAGTTGACTGAACGAGCCTAACAACTCCATCCTCAGTCAACTCATATGATTATAAACTGCTGGAATCTAGTTTATCGTTAGCCCGAGTCCAACATATATTTAAGCCCACGCGCTATGACTCACAGCACTCTTCCTCAACTCTGGACCTAGTGTTCTCCCATGGTAAGGATGTGGATCTCAAACAACATTTTCTCGTTCATGAACTTCAGGAATAAAACATCCAATGGTGTCCCAAACCTGACTATTGACAGTGATACAATCGAAAAAGATCAAAAAAAACAGAAGCAATGGCAAACTACTTCTCCCAAGTCTTCACTCAGGAGTCGTCGCTGCCTACAGAATCAGCCCTAGCTGCATCAGAAGAACGTGGGATAGATTCCGTTGACATCGACCAAGGCATCGTGCTCAACTGCCTAAGTAAACTAGATGCAGGAAAACCAGTGGGTCCTGATAATCTTCATCCAAGGCGTCTCAAGGAGCTATCAGCCCACATAGCCTACCCTTTGATTACGATCTTCAAGCTTTCTCTCCAAAATGGAGTGTTACCGCATGACTGGAAAGACGCCACAGTAACCCCCATCCAAAAAGGAGGATCAAGGGAAGCCCTTCAAATTACAGGCCTATCAGTCTCACCAGCACTTTAATCAAGACACTGGAAAGGATCATCAAGAAAAGCATAATGGCATATCTAAAAAATAGAAGCTTATTATCAAGAGCAAAGTATGGCTTCCGAATGAACCTCTCATGCCTGTCAAATCCTCTTACTGCAAGAGAAAGCTGGGTCAAATCCAGGGACAACAAGAGACCCGTTGACGTCGTCTTCATAGACTTCAGCAAGGCCTTTGATAAAGTACCCCACAAAAGACTGTGGTGAGAGCTGTCTACTAGCCAAATTGGTAGACAGTAATTTACATCAATATTTACGTTCCCAAGATTTGTCGTGAGAAAATGTGAACAAAGATTGACTTTGCGTAGGCGGATGCAGTTAACATATAGACGATTTGACATTCAAGAAACAGTCACAAATGGATAAATAAATAAATAATAAATAAATAAATAATAGTATATTCTCATTTTGTACATGAGGGACGCCAGTTTACAGGCATCATCAATATGATAAATTACATATACGATTAGTAAACATATTTAATAATAATAATTTAATAAAATACATTTTTTCCTACCTGTGTAGGACACACCAATTGTACAGGCATGGATAAGTATTATTTAAATTAAATAAATTTGGTTCATGGTAAAATTATAAGGTTGCAGTCATTTTGTCTATGGGAACAATATGATAACTAGTCATTCAATGGAGCACATCAAGAAATATAGAAATATTGTCTTCGCATTAACAAAAAAACCCAAGTATGTTTTGGATGGATTACAAATACTTGGGAAAAAAATAAAGCTTGAAGTAATTCCTCCATATAACTTTGGTGTGTACGGCATCGAGTCTTATTCTTGATAATAATTTAAAATAAGTAATCCACTTGTATACTTTTGTCAACATTTTCTTCGTAACATCACAAGTGAATAGTACTCAAGGTCGACTAATAATAATGGTAGTTTATATTTTCTTATAAACGGGTGTTTTCAAGAAATGCAAGCTTTTTTGCAGACAAGATCAGTTATGTTATAAGTTACATTCGTGAAGTATTATAAATCAATACTTTTTTATTGGTATAAAGATATATTTCACAACTGTAATCCAGGTTGCGTCGTTGGTGAAGGCAATGCGCAATTCACGAGGGAATTGTAAGTTATGGGACCAATAATGTTTGCAGATCATTTCTCATTGTAAATGGGCAAATATCTACATTCTTCGTTCTCATTCAAAAAGTTAAATGGAAGCTGAAATGGTGAGAGACAAAAGAAGACAAACAACAACAACGCAAAAGAAAGCAAGTGGAGTACTTAGGGGGTGATTAATGTGTATATATACATATATATTCTGTTTAGTAATTATAGTTATTTTGGTGCACTAACTAACTATTCCCGTGATGCTAACTTTTATATTGTGTGAGCTAATATTATTGTCCTGTGTAAAAATGTCTATCATGTACTTCCAATAATATAAAAATTTATAATTGTAGTTTGTTGTAACTACACGTTTAATGAACTTAAAATATCTATGTTGGACGAAAAAGTGGGTGTAGGATTCAGACTCAGAAGTGCACTGTCATCTTTGAGCAGTCTGGTGACTGAGGAGATGAACACTGCGAGTGTGTTTGCATCGCGCACATCAGCTGGTAGTCTATTCCAAATGACTGAAAACTTATTTAAGAAGAAATTATGCCGCATGTGAGTCTGACAATGCTCTATAGCAGCTAGGTTGTGATGATTTCTAAGATTGTAACTGATGACAGCGGTAGGTTTAATTATTGGCTCGGAGGAGTGCACGAGCAGATTAGTTAGCTTGTAGTAAAAAATCAGGTTTAGCTTAAGACGTCTTTTCCAGAGTGGTTCTAAACTTAGTCTGTCGCAACGTTCATAGTATTGGAGACCACTTTCTAAACCAAGAATTCTTAAGGTGAATTGCCGTTGCACTCCTTCTAACTTAAGCTTGCCATTTTGTCTGAGTCCGCTAAGAATAAACGGGCAGTATTCTAAAATAGGTCGGACACATACTTTATATAATAAAACCCTAGTTTCACAACAAAAGAAATTGCGAGTTATGCATCCTAGGAGCCTTCGTGTTTTACGTCTGGCATAATCAGTTTGTTCAGAGAACGTTAAGTTACTAGAGTATCTGATACCGAGATCTACGACTGAGTTGAGCTTGGCTAGTTTACGCCCATTTATTTCAAGATTCAGGTCAAGGTTACTGTTTCCGATACAAATCCAGCCGCATTTATCAATGTTGAACTTAAGACAGGATTCAGTACACCATGTTGCGAGACTACTTAGTTCAAGAT